AAAAGTTTAGATCTATGATTGCCGTTGTCTTATAAAATGACGTGAGAAGAGTCATTAGTTTATCGAGAATCTTTCTTATGGAGTATGATAACAATGACTTGTTGTATTACCTATAGATGGATTTTGATTGAAAAATATTTGTTTCAACTACTGAATAATGATTATTTTGGTGGATTTTCGATTATTAATTCCATTTTTATAAGTACATCACTAAAAATGAATAAGTTATTGCTTTTAAGGATACTGAAAATAAAAGATTTATTGTCATTAGAAATGAATTTATTTGTATATCGTAATTTTGAAAGAATCGTTGGACGACATATTTTTCAATTAACAAATTTGAGAAAAGTGCACATAGTATTATGGTAGTGATATCAAATGTTAAAAAACATAAGCTTATAAATATTTTTAAACTGTTATATTTCACAACTGGAATAAAAAATTTCAAGTTCAACGTATAATTCCCTCACAACGGCGCAAGGGTGTGTTAAACTAATTACTAGCAGGCAATAAATAATTTCTCAACAACTATCTCGCTGGCTATAGCGCGTAAATATTTCAATGCAGTACTCGCTATCTCGCCATGGATTACGTAATAGCCGCCCAACATTCGAAATATACTCGAGACAGCGGAAGATATTAAGGTCGAAGATAGAGCGAGAAATCTGCGTTGTGTGGTTTTTCGGGCTGGTACTACTGGTAAGAGCAGAAGCAGCATATCTCTCTCTGTCTGTCTCTCTCTCTCTCTCTCTCTCTCTCTCTCTCTCTCTGTCTCTCTCTCAAGACGCCCTGCTATACGTACTGCTAAACAGGGCGCTCCCGCGGAATCGCTGCAGTAATCGGCGCTACCGCTGCCGCCGCGGTATATACGCCGAGTGTCTCATTATACTACATGAAACGCCCCGCGCGAGCTCGAGCTTGAGCAAGTGAGTGCAGTGTATTTTTAGATCTCTGCAATTTACAGTCTTGCCCTCGACGCGCTTCAGCTCGATCTTATCTCTCTCTTTCCCTCCCCAAAAACCCCCATCTATCTTTTTATTTCTTTCCTCTGATATACCGGTCTATTTTCTTCATTTCTTATCAGCTTCTATTGTTGTGGCTCGAAATATTTTTTCAAAATATAGGATTTTTCTTTCTCAGATTCTCAGAGTTAATAGTTAAGTTGGCATGTAAGTTAGCGTGTGCCATCTCTCTCGTGAAGTTATTTTGAAAGCTATCCTTGCCATGTAAAGTATGTACTTTGGAAAATATGTTTTACCTCTATCATGGTTTAATGTACAGAAATACTTGGGATTTGTTAAAATTTAGGAGGAGAAGAAGTAAAATAAAAATTGAAGCTCCCTGCTATTTTCATATAGTGGGCGTACTTATTTATTTATTATTAAGCTTGTGAGCAGGGATCTAAATTGGTCACTCCATTATAATTGAAGTTGATAAAATATGAGAATATGTAGCACTTCATAAATCGTTTATGTTTGCAGCTAAATACAATTGATTTAATCAACAAGTGAGCACTGATTAAAACGCGACGATTAAGTTGTCAAATTGAAAAACGACAGTTATGCAAAAAAATCCTGCTCACGTTTATCCTTGAGCCATCGCCAATTTGAAAATTCGAGGGGTATGAATGCAAAGACGCAGACTTAAAACGACACGTGTATTAAAAGAGCAGCGAAAAGGTAAATGGCATTGCCCGTAAAAACAGCGGGCGTCGCATGAAGAGAGTTCTTTCTTAGCCTGGCAACGATCGATAACGAGCTGAAACGCTATTTTCTTTTTCTTCTCGTAACGAGGTGACGAGGCGGCGGCGCGGCACTCGTACGTGTGCAGATGTTTGCACGGCAAAGTGCACGTACTCCATCCATCGAGTCTCGGGAAATTTTCTTCCTACGCAGCAAGAGAAAGGGCGAGGTGGGGGGAGGGGGGCGAAGCAGCGTCGTGGGTGTTGAATGGGAAAGACAAATTTTTATCAACTTTCCGCAAGGTGAAAAATATACGGAATTGGAAGTCGAAAATTTTCGCGAAACAACACGATTTCAGACGTACAAGTCAAAGTTCGACATCGTTCCAACAACAAGGAAAATTGATCAAACAGTAGAACAATTTGTTTTCGCGTGAATGTGATTAAATTACAAGCACTTTAATTCTATTTCTAAAACAGCACACAAACACTAAGTGACGATTGAAATACATATATGATAATGCAGTAGCAACTGTAAAGAAACTTTAAAGGATTGATTGTAGTTCTTGATGCAAAATCCTTTCGCAAATTACCAAGCTATTTCCAGCAAACTTCTATTTACTAAATAAAAGTAACTAAAAGTATCTGTTTGCATTCTTTCTTCCAACAAGATTACTGGACTGTTGATAATAGTCGGAAATATATCTCTACATTCAAACATACGAACAAAAAGAATCAAGAAACTTGTGAGAAAAATTTCTTCTCATAGTTTTTTGTTTAAAAGTATACATAAGTAAATTCACGTCGCATACATCTCAGGTTCAAGTCTGCGAGCATTAAATCTGACGCGCACACTGTGAGTAAACTATGTAGTTTCCGCTCAAAAGTGCGCAAAGTGGCGAGAAGAAAAAAAAACGCGCACACGCAAGAAAGAAAGACATTCACTTGTCAAGTAGAACAAATACAAGCTCGTGGCCAAAGAAATCCAATCCTGCCTACGTTGTGTTGTGCACTGTTACGCATTGTGAAAAAGACAGAAAAAAAAGAACAGACGAACAGGTTAAGAAGAGGAAAAAAAGTCCGCACGTCGGGCTTTTTTCTTCCATCGAGCATTCATGCACGAAATATGGATACTCGTCCTTTCCAACCTTTCCCTTCCTCCTTCGCTTCAGATGTACTTTATCAGGCTTGCATTCTCACCAAGCTATGTACGCTTTCAAGATTCTTTAGACGAGTTTCACGTTTTTTTTTGTTTTTTTTTTTTTCTACAGGGAAAGAGGGCGAGGAATTCGTGTCAGAATATAAAATTATTCGAATTTTCAATGAAACAAATGATTTTTATTATTGTCACCGATATTCATTGACTGATAATTATAAAAATGACGAAACTTTCGGCTGAATCAAAAATTAGTATTATTTTAACATGTCTTATTCATCAATGAGTGTTTGAATGCAAAATTAGAAAGATTTGATTACTTGACGAAAAAAAGAGCAAAGCAAAACCTTTTTTCCCTCAACATTGACAACATGAATCTAGATTAAGAATTGGCTCTATTTATTCGTGTATACAGCGCGAGTCGGCAATTCAGATTATCATTTGAGGCACGGCATTGCGTAGAGAACAGAGAGAGAAAGAGAGGAGCGAGAGAAGAGATTAGCAAAGTCCAGGATAATCGATTATATTTTACTCTACTACCTACAGTCTCGTGAAACGAGCAATCCTCAGCTTTATATATATGTATACCCCGAGGCGGAAAAATCTTGTCGAAATACGCTGATTAAAATGCTCTTACAGTTAAATTCGATAAAATATTTGCCTTTGAATATTCGAGAGGCTAAGAAAGAGAAAGCGAGGAGCCTAGATTATTTTACAGAATGTCTTTAAGAATCTAAGAATTAAATTATTAAATTAAATTAAATTAAATTAAATTAAATCTAAGAATCTTGCTAGTTTTTTGCACTGAAAGAAAAGGGAAAAAAATTTTCTGTCTATAACAGAGAAAAAAGTAGAGGCATTTTCTAATTATATTTTCTTGGCTCACTAAGACAAGAAAAAAAATTTTCTTTTGTTCTATATATTCTCAAATTAATTCGAATTAAATAATGTTGGCAAAATGAGGAATTCGGATTAATCTTCAATAAAAACTTCATTTTCAATTGTGCATTTATTATAATTCCTGGCAGCAAAGTAAAAAAAAGACGCGGTACAACTCCTTTTATTCCAGAAAGTCGACCCTCTCAGCGTGATTAGCCTCTGGTATTTTTCTAGGTGATTGGAGTTGCTTTCGCCATCGGGGGGGGGGGGGGGGGGGGGATCGCTCATCTCCCTGCGGCTCAACTCCTGAACTGTCAAAATTAATAGTCCGCTGTTCGACAAGTATTTTACAATTCATCCATTCTTTCGCAATATATTTTCACAATAATTTACGCTCGCTCGTGTGCGTATGTTGTAATTAATAATTCATCCGAAAATAAATAATAATAATTCCTTCAATTCGAAGACAGAAAAATATTTTATATCAGCCAAACGTGATGATAACATTTTCTAAGGGATAAGGAAAAAATTTATTACGACTCTCAAATAAATGCTTTAGTCTTTAAAGTTATATTCTTCAAGCCAAGGTGTTATTTGTGTAAAAATAAATATTGCATCTCTGCCAATAAAGTAATTTAACATGCAACTGTAAAGAAGCTACATAACGAAGTAATTCATCTGTCAAGCTGGTCTTCGCGTCATATTTAAATAAAAATAAATCCATTTATTTTTATTGATCTATTTGCTCCAAATTATTGCACAAAAGCTCACACCATAACAAAGTTCTCATCAAACCTAATAACTCCATATTATTTCATTGTATTTGTTGTATAAAATATTAATTTATTATAGGTATACATATGAGAAAATAATAACGAACCGTGTACGGTAGTTTTTCGATAACTTACGTAGCCAAGAAAAGATTTTTACACTCACGTCTGTTACTCTTCGATACTAAAAATAGAATTACTCTGACTCAGAAAACGTGCTTAAAAATAGTATATTTACTTTTCATTCAGTCATAAAATCTATTTTTATTTAAATATAATTTATCAAAAATATAAGCAGAACATTACTTTAATATTCAAATTGTCCTTGTTGATAATTTAAAATCAAATAAAAATTGAAATGATTTCCATTGGTTGTATGACAATAAAAATAAGCAACTGGTAGATTGATAAAAGAATAATAAATTTGTTTATTCAATAGAGAAAGTTGAGAATCGATGTAAGCAAAAACCATACGAAAAAGGAGCTGAAAAAGTATTAAAAGATATAAGCATACCTTGCAAGTAGGATATCTCTCTTTAGGCTGTGTCCTCTTCCACCCTAGCAGCGGTGGTATACATATGACCGCGGACATGATCCAGACGAAACCGATCATAAAAGCGGCTCTTGCCGGGGTCCTCTTTTTCAAATAATCGATCGCCTGGGTGATACTCCAGTACCTGTCCAAACTAATCAGACACAAATTCATAATGCTGGCGGTGCACAACAACACGTCCATCGCCGAGTGTATGTCACACCACCACGAGCCGAATATCCAATAGCCCATTATCTCGTTGGCCAGTGAGAATGGCATTATGACAAGTCCGAGAAAGAAGTCCGAGACGGCTAAACTCGCGATAAACCAATTTTGTATGTTCTTCAGTGCTTTCTCGGTCATAATAGCAATGATGACAAGCATATTGCCAACGACGATGACGATCATGAGTATAGTGATGACCACCGAAGCGATGATAATATGAGGCATCGAGTAACCTGAAGGATAGACACTTTCGAGAACGTAACTGGCGTTGCTGGCATTGTCGTTGTCGAGGCTCAACCATTCGGCGAACAGCAGTTCGCTGTCGTTGAACGTCGTGTTGAAAGCCGCTTCGAACGCTGACATCGGACCCAGTCCGAATAGCAACGCGCCATCGTAGTTGTTCTCGCCACTGCTGTCGCTGTTTATCGTCGTTGTCGTCATCGTACTGGGGGTTACCGGCGATGATAGCACTTGCTATCTCACCGATAACTGCCACCACGTTCCCTGTTCGTCGCCTGCTACTCCCAGACACACTTTCACCAGTTGCAGTGGCAACGCCAACAGCAGCAGCAACGCCAGCAGCAGCAGTATACAAACTAACTTGCATCTCGAATTCATTGCCGGTTAACGGCAACTTTGTTTTAACAGCTTCCACTACCTCTCAAGACATTCTTGCTGCTTGTTTTGTTTCTTCTTCGGCGACGGCGCAGCGGCGGATGTGCAAGTATTTTGTTTTCCCAATTTTCACCGCTTAACCCGCGCCCCCTCGCCACCCACTTCAACCAAAAATAAAAACGACCTTCGCCGTGTCAAGCCACTTTTGCACCACTTTTCTTCTACTCCTCACCTTCCTTTCAACTCAGCCATAGCAACTCTCGACGAGCACGAGTTTTAAGCTGGAATTTGTTATGTTGAAGATCTCTGACCTTTTCTCTTCTTCTCTTCCTCTACTTTTTCAACATTTATTTCTACTGGACGACAGATTTGTTTGACATATTCACTCACGCACACGCACGCACGGTGAATGTATATGTGAGTGTGTTTGTGTGTAGTATATAGGTATGAGGATTTGTGTAATGGTAAGGTGACAGCAGCTTCTATTTCTTTTTTTCTTCATAAACTGTATGCCACGCACATACACACGCACGTATTATGTACGTGTGTCCGCCTCCTTGAGAGTCTCGCGACCGACTGCGTGATGCTTGCGCGGCTTTCAATCGTCTCTCTCTCGCACTCACTAGAGAAGGAGAAAGAAGGAGGGGTGAGACTGGCGCAGGCGCCACCCGCCAACCGCCGACGTTTACCTATACGCACGCTCCAACGACAGTAGGATGCCGACCAGCGGCCTCTGATCCTCACTTCTATATCTACTTTTATATCTGTACTTTTCCTTATTTCTTATCTTTGGAATATTAATGATGATACTTTGATTTATAATATTTATAAGTTATAGTCGATGTCGATCGCTACTAGATCGAACAAATATTCAATTTTATTAAAACTAAATACAGAGTTACTTTGCAGTATCAATGAAATGAATTATTATTGTTAAATATTAAATGATCTTGACTCTTACACGTATGCTATTGAATTCATAATTATTATTTAATCTCGATCATACCTCAAAATAAATTCATTTAGATCAATACATAGTTACAAATTATTAAATTTTTTTATGAGATTAAGATGAACTATATTTAGAAAGTTATTAAATATTATTTTAAGTTCATCTACACCCTAAATAATGACACTGTTCAACTATCGATTACTTTTCTCTGAATCAGTGTTTGCAGTTAGTGGTTTGCGGTCTGTTCATTTATTAATTATACGCAAAATTATTGAAAATTTGAATACCAAAATAGGACAAGCCCGAGAGATTTCTAGATCTATTTTTCAGTCTATATCTTTGCTACTTTTTGTATACTTTACTCCTAGGTATAATTATTTGCCACACATTTTTTAATAAAAATCTCGATTGATAAATTTGAGTAAGAAAGTTTTCAATTACTCATCAGACATAAATTAAAGTAAATCATGTACAACATTTATATTCAAACGCATAATACTTATCATTAGTATTTAATAATCAAATTAAAATTGATACCTATATGCATATACCTTATTTTGAAACATAAAAGACGTAAAAGTTTAAACAATATGCTATTATTGTTTTGATTATATTACTTTTAATTGTCTCATATATTGAATAGGAATACATTATGGGTGTCAATTGAATTTTCGTTATGGATATAGTTTGTTTCAATTCAAAAATCACCGATCAATTAATTCATCAACTAGAAAGATGCAATTATTTCTTAATTGAACTAATTGTATTATACAACAAATCTACCTTCGTGAAATGACGTAAAAGTTTAAGAAATAAAAAAGAAAAAATTCTGGATATAAGAACACTAAAAAAAGTATTTGCAAAATTGTGAAAATACTGCTTTATTTTTTATTTTTTTCGCATCCAATACCTCTTCTTACCAAAATAGAATACAAAAAGAATTCCCTCTCACCACGTACAGTTTTACTTCTCGCGTCAAAATGATAAACTTTAAAGGTTAGCCTATCTCTTACATTGACGGGAGTAGAAGATCGTTCGACTGTAAAATCTCTCTTTTGACCTTCAACGCGAACAAATTAATCACAGTCAATGTATCTTAGGATATATTGTTAACTTCATAAAAAAAAAACAAAAACGTTAACTAAGCTTCAGTCTAATGAATTGTCGTCGGTACATATAACTCAATACTATGGTTAACATTTGTTCTTGAAGGTAGCGCGTAAACATCATCAACTCGTTCGACAAATCGAAAGACGGCAATCGATCAATGACACCTTCATGGAAAAATACTTTCAGTCCCATTATGTTCTCGGGACGAGAAGCAAGGCAATATAGCGCGCGCCTTACCTGTATCACTTGGTTGTCGGTTCTCGAAGTGCATAAGGTCGATTGTCGGATTCACCCTTGGATGAACACGTGTCCCTTTAACGAGTGATGGCGGAAATACCCGGGATCAAGGCGGAAATCATCCCTATATCACTTGATTAAAATTAGACTGCTAGTATGAGAGCAGTTGATGGCGCAAATTTTAAGAAGATTAAACAACCTTTTTTTACACGAAGACATGTACACCGTAACGTTTTATACCTTAGTTAATTTTTTTCTTAATTATTTTTTTTAATTTCCATTATCTAAATGAGTTTTAATCTATTTAAAAGCCAGTAATTCATTCATGATGTGGATTGTAATAATTTGTGCCCTTTTATTACAGCAATTATGTTAACAGACTGACATGAAACTCACACATTTACTAGATTAATACAAAGTGAAAAGTAATTGTCACGTTATTGCCATTTTAGGCTTTGTGGTAAGTTTTAACAGAAACTAGTTACGAACAAGATAAGATATAAATAAATATATACTGTAAACAACCCTTCTAATGAAGTCTCTAACGATTTTGATAAAAAACGAAACTTAAATTTATAACGGAGAGAATTTTTTTTTTTATGTATCATAGATAAGATACTTTCATACTAATTCATGTGAATTTGTACTCATTAAATTCTGAATAGTTTTTGATTATCGTATTCTAATATAACAATCAAAACACGATGATTTTTATTTTTTGTAATTACCATATTCACATGAAATAAAGTATTCATTCGATGATCTCTTCTTTTCAAAATTCTTTTACTCAATGATTTGTTTAAACAGTTTTGAAAATAAAATTAGAAAAAAATGGACCAAGACCTATATATCGCAAATAGCTTTGTGACAAATAGATTACCCTTTCAACATATCAATCACATTTCAATACTAGGTATTAAATAACGCGGAATAAAATATTTTAACGATTCGACCAATATCGTTAAATTTTTTATTTTCATGGAAGAAAATTTAAATGTTTAATCTAATGATAAATATACATGGGATAAAATGTTATATAACTCAGTATTGTACTCAGTATGTATCATGTTGTAAATATCTGGAATCAAAAAATACAAATACAATCACAAATATTGCAGAAAACATGTTTTCAAGGAAAGTTTCTAGAATGTGGACAATATTTGGTGATATATCTATTAACTATCAATCTTCAATCAAACATCTTCATTAATCAAACATCGTTCTCCAGAAAAATAACTCCTATTAATCCTTACCGACACACAAACTTCCATCTCAAGTACAGAACAGCGTGAGTCCATCTTCAAATAGCCGAAGGCGTGCATTGCGGATACTAATTTCTGCATACCGTCGAGGCGCGTGATTGGTCGTAGAGACGTACGTGCTCGATTAGGTACAGAAATGGAGTTTCGCTCCTCGTGATCCAATCGCTGGCTTGTAAAGTACACTTGATTACCTCTGTGAGATATGCATTAACTTAAACACTTCTCGAAATATTTAGTAGATTGAAGCATAATATAACAATTCTAAATTTTCAATGTTAAATTTATCGCATTTGTTTAGTGAGACCTAAAATTTTTAAAGTCTGTAGAGAAAATATTCGATTAAAGTTTTAATTTTCAACCATATTACTACTTTCTCGCTTGAAGCTGTATTCAATCATTAATAAGCACTTGCTTATAAAGCTCTAGCTACCGCAATGAAATATTGTTATGCAAAAAGCTATTGGTGAACATAAATTACAGAATTTTAAAAGATTATTAATTTTAGGTAGATACTCACTCCTACCTACGACAAGACTTGTTCTAAAACTACAGTAATTCAAAGATGGTTAAAATCTTCTGCCTTTTAAAGGAAAGATATATTATTCATATTCATTATCAACGTCTTGTTCGTGGTTTCAGTAAGTGTTTAGATGAGGACCTTATGGAAAGAAAGAGAATGAATTAGATGAAAAAATCCAAAGTTTTATTATTGCTTCATGACACTTGAAGTCACAGAGCAGAAATTCACAATACAGGACTACAACGTAGTCATCGTTGATAAACACAAGTGTTCCTACGAAACGCGTGACGATAGGTGGTGTACATGCTTGTTAAAGTGTTCGGTAACGTCTGTCCCTGTAATCACTACATGTTCACCTCGATACTCATCTTATCCCCCCCCCCTCCACACTTCTTTCTACTTCTACTGCCATGGGTCAGAGCTTATTTGATTACCCGAATTCGGCAGTACTATTACCCTCGGCCTCGGTTTACCTCCGCGGTGGTGTTGCCGTGAACGCTGTGACACGCAAGGCAAAGGTCTGAGCTTCTCCGTCGTGGGGTAGACTGCAATCTCAGAAAGCGCTGCTCTGCTCACCTATGCGTGGGTGAGAGGCCAGAGACCATGCGTAGGCGACTCGGTCATGACTTCAACTGTCATCTACTGTATTTCAATCAGCGATCCAATCAATTTGTTGACGAAACTTCCAATTCTTTACTACTCACGGTTAAAGGCTACGATGATGGTCATTTCTTTCACTCTCACAATTACAATTTGATATGACCATCTAAATTGCATGTATCGTAATAATACACACGCGTTTGCTTTGTACAGTTGAGTAACGTCGAGTAACTCGCAATACATTGAACTTACAGAT